CATCTATCTGTCACACAACATAAAGAATCATGTAAAACAGTTCTTTACCAGTGTGAGACCAAAGGCATTTTGTAATACAGTTAAGAAGCTCTTTATTTGCTGTATGGGAGATTTTAAAATTCATTTTCAAATTCAATTTAGAAAAGTATATAAGCTTATGATACTCTAGTAAAATACTACAGCAAATTTTTGTAAAGACCACAGACAGAAAAAGAAAAAGCATCTCCGTAATTAAACTATTCCTAAAAAATGCATAGCTTAAAAGTATTATTTTTTGTCTTGCTGCTTCAGAACCTGATTCTAATATTCAGTTCACCACATTTTGATGTTAATCCATTTAATAAATTTAGTATAGAAGGTTGTTCCTTAGCAACTACAGATGTACACACAGTTTTAAAAGCCTAATAAGAAGAATACCTTTCCCTTTCTGGCACTGCAGCTCCTGGAAGTGAAAGTCCCATTCACTAAAGTCTTCCTGTCCTGGGAATAAGCAATCCCAAATCATGCCTACCATTTTTACCTTTTCCATCCCACCTGCACCACTGTCAGCATTATTTTACCCTTCTGCAACTTTCAAGTTTTAAATCCTCTCTTTGCTGTAATCATCTAAACTGAAATTCATTTTGAACATCAACATTGGTATAAAAACGCCATAAAACAATTTAGTTCTAGGATTTTTCTATATTTTTGGGAGGAAAATTTCCAGTCTTTCCTCCATTCATTGCTTCCTTTCTACATTTTCACTTGTCATCTTCTTCCATAAGAAGATGTTGCAACGGAAGTAAGGCAAAGCACCTATCTCCAACACCCTACAGCAACCAGGTGCTTTCTCACAGGTGGTTCCTGGAGAACCCAACACCATAGTCTCCTTTACTGACTGAGGTTAATACTGTAACGCAGGCTCCTGTCTCTAACATTGGCCAGTAACTTGTTCTTATGAAAATAATTTAACAAGAACAACAAACAGTATAAAGCTACCCTTCCTCCAACATGCCTTCTAAATTACTAATTGCTAAAAGGCAGGAAACTTCTTGAGTTAAGGGTTGTATATAGATTGTTACGGCTTAACAACTCCCACAGATCTGTCCTACGTGAACCTAATCCCTTTTGGACCAATGCATTTCTTATACGATTTAATTCTGCATTGTGGAAAAAAACCCGCTGTCTTGTCTTTAAGCTTGTTTAGATAAGCTTATTGGGAGCATAAGCTGCCTCCCCATTGTTGTGTTGTGAAAAATAGCAAACTATCATGAAATGATAATTGCAAAAAATAGTGAGTAGATTATTTTCCAAGCAAAATAATCGAAATCCATTTTGCCTTTGTTGTTATGGAAACTATTTCAAAAAAGCTGTGCTACACCTCCAGTCTAGCTGCCTGCCCTTCTTGGTGGAATGGGAACAACGCCTTTCCGTTACATCGTTACCTCCGCTAGAGTAAATGCACTTATACAGAAAATACCCTATCATCAGGATTATCTGCAAATTGTGTTTTCCATAAATTTGACTGCATCACTGACAAGTACACCTCAAAAACCATCTTTCTATAACTCTAACCTCATTTACTCCTTTGTGAACAGTATAACTTACTCAGCAATATGGTTCTGTTATAGGATGAGACACCTTCAGAATCCAGCTCCTTAACTTAAATAAGCAGTATTGATTTTTGTCTAGAAAAAGCCTGAAAATTCTGTCCAGAAGTCTGCTCTTTCCTGCAGTGCAGAAACAGTACACCATTTACCATTTGAGAAGTTAGGCTCTGATATCATAGATTAGTTGTTCTTTTCTGTTACAAAGGGTAGACAGAAACCTGCACAACAGGTTGTGGGAGTATGTTTCACACAAGGCTTTGTTTCACTACAATTTTCAGAATTAATCAGAAACTTGAAACTTTTACTGAGAAAGGCCAGCTCTGCTATTCAGTCTTGATCCTGGAGGGTGCTAAGCACTTCAGCTTTTACCACACACACGGGTGTGGATGGTTGCTGTAACACTGCACAACTTCCTAAGGTTTATCTTCTCATACAGTAGGGTCTTACTTCCTGATCTTAGTTTGATACCTAGTCATTGTGTTTATCTTTAAATCATTATGTGGCATTATCTTACTACTTACACCTGTGGAAAAGCTGTCTTGCCAAGTCTGACGTCTGTGTTTCAAGTTCATCATTTATGTTAATAAAATTTTGACAGGAAGGATGTAGAATCCACTTTCTAGGTATTTAAATTCAGAACAGAAAATTCAGTTTCTTCTCCATATGTTCTAAGGAGAAAAGAGACAGGTAAAATCATGCCGTTCCGCCTTAATAATCACAGACTACAGTGACTCTTGCAGTGGGGGAAATCATTTGCTTAAATTCCTTCTCGTGTTGCTAAGATACTAAGGGAACAAAATTAATTTTCAGAAAGTCCTGTGGAGCAACTACTACTATACCTACTTTACAAGCAGGCAAACTGAGTCAAAGAAAGAGTCTTATGATTCAGCCACACCTTCACATGAAGGAAAAGCAGTCCTAAGATTATGGCAGAAAAATTAGTAGCTATCAGGTGTCTGCTCCATTCACCAGAATACACTACCAGGGTACATTTTTTCTGCTTCTCATAAATTCTGTTTGTACACTGCAGTGCTGTGTAACCCTCTAATTATTCACAAAGCATATCAGACAGAAAAAAAAAGAATAATTTTTAGGTTTACATGAAGCTTCAGAAACTTGGCTCTCACTACCGATAATATTCATTGAAACAGCCATATACCTAAGCCCTGGTTTCCTCTTAGGCCTCTTTGTACTGCTTGGACAGTAGTGGACTAGATAATCAAGCCCTTACACTATAGCATAAGGACTGGGTCTTATAGCAGCCTCAGAAACCTGTACTAACTTCAGTGGGGCTTTGTACTGGTGCAGAGACTAATCCATGTGGAACTAATTGCAGAACTGTGGTCTAAGTAAGAAACTGGTCTAGTTCTATTTGCTTATTACCCAGTTGTCAAAATGTACTGCTCATTAAGTCCAGAAACAAAGGGTCTAGATGGATTCTTTATATCTCAGAAATGCGTTTCCCATATAAAAAGAAAATAATCAGTAACACTGCAATGGAATTTAAAACCTTACTGAAAAGAAAGAAACTCTAAGGCAGGCGTTTTTGTGCAGAATAATGCAAAGAGGCCCTTTCTCTAAGCAGTTTATGATTTATTTTCGCTTAAAACAACAAATAATGCAAGACGCAGTTTCGCTACATGAGCCCATAGAACATGAATGAGGCTAAAACAAATCTCACAGCTCTCTTCCATAATGCGAGCTCCGTGCTCTGTTCCAAGTGTGTTTCAGTCACTTTTCTCCCATCCTGTACCATCTGAATTTTCTGTCCTGTACAAGAGCTCTCTGGACTCCTCTAACGTAACCAACCTGCTGCAGTCCCTAATAGCATGGTTGGACAGCCTGGGGTCACTGACACGGGAGTTCGAGCTGTTTCCTTACGTCAGCAGGTGCCAACAAACCAGTGCAGGATAATACAGTATATTAGGAAGCAAAAATTTCCGTGGTAGGCACAAAGTTTTTATCTGCAGCATGGATCTACCAGACTAAAAACGGGTTAAAAAAAGAAAAGCAGAACTGGTTAAAAAGTGGAACGAGCACATACCAGAAGCTTTCAGCAGAGCGTTCAGTTTTATGAAATTTTCAGGATGTTCCCAAGTTTTAAAAAGTTCCAGAAGTGAGCCCGAGTGCTCTGTTTCCTAATACCACTGAGGACGTATGTCCATGATCAGTGTTAGGAGATGTAAGTCTGCTTGGCTGCCAAAAGGGACAGTGCCACTCTTCTCCAAGGCACATTTCTACCTGTTTCCTTGTAAAGGTACTAATGCTTGTGCAGCCATGCAAACAAGTCAGCTCAGGGAACTGACCCAGCAGCAAATTTACCTAGTAAAATAAATTATTTCTGTAGCAAGATCAATCCTCTGATCCAGCGTTCCTTACAGCCACAAAATCCCAAAGGCCAGTAATAGACAGTGGGAAAGAACATGGACGGAGGAGCGGGAAAGAGGGATGGGTGAGTTTCGCCGTCCATATGGTTAAAGAGTGTTCCAGATACAACCATATGTTACCTGGCTGGGTGTAGAAAGTCTATGTCAGATGGGCACCAAACCACTTAACGCTCAGTAAGTTGTAACTAGTTGTGTCAATTAACCCTATAATTGCGAGCAATTTGTGCCAATGTGCAGGACAAAAATCCAGTAAGTTCCAGCTCAGAAGTTTGGATTGCCGCATGTGTCAGCCTGTTTGTGGCTTCCGGTTGTAAGTCTATCTCAAGCATCACTTGCCTGTTCCTTGCGAGGTAAATGGATTCAGGCACCCCTTTCCCCTGCTCCTCCAGGCATTGAAACCCATCACTTAGTCATCCAGTAAGACCTTCAAACACTGATTAGCTGCTGCTTTGCAAGCGCCTGCGTTTCTGAAGGCAGGCATGTATAAAGCTACTTACAACCTGATGTTGTTGTGCTGCTTAAAGCCCTAACCACAATGGGATTCTCAGCGAAGTCTCCCCTAGCTATCTCATTCAATCTGAAGCATGCCTATAGGATCATGCCCTACGCATAGAACAGGCATGGACAAGACTTCTGAAGGTCAGTGGCTAGTATGTATATGCATTGCATATATATTTACATTCAAAATTCCAGAAGTCAGAGCACTCAGCTGCAGAAGTAGGGATTGTTTCCTTTTCATTAACACCCAAGAGGTACCTTTTACATAAAACTAGAGTTTAAAAATAATAATGCAAATTTAGCCTTCTGAAACTGCTACACTAAAAAACACCTTGCACTGACTTTGGTAGGACTATTCATATAGCTACTGATATTTGAGAGAAAATATCGGATGCAATCTGGAGTATAACAAATACTGCATGTTCTAATCAGCTATCTCAGTAATAAGTACTACACAGATATTCATGTTCATTTGTTACTCTTCCTTTAGAAGAGTAAGTCATGATATTTTTTTCCCTCCCCTCAGGTGTAATCCTTGGATTTTCTCTCCGATCATATAAGATGAGTTATCGGGAAGTCAAGTACTTTTCATTTCCAGGAGAACTACTCATGAGGATGCTGCAAATGCTGGTCCTGCCACTAATTGTATCCAGTTTAGTCACAGGTAAAAGAATCAAAAGATTTTTCATTCTGAAATTTTCTGTTAAATAATTTGATTAAGATGCACACACCAAATCGTAAGAAATGAACATTCCATATGCTAGAACAGAAATGTAATAACCTGCAGAATGAGATATTGCTGCTATTGCTGTTTTGGAAATGGTATCACAAGGTTCAAATTAATATGCAAAGTAATTAAAAGATGTTTTTCCAAATTCCAAGTCACTCCAACTGTGCAAATTATTTTATGTAGCTGCTATGGAGCAGACTTTGTACTTCAATTTCTTCTCTTACTGTCTAGACTGATACCTTCTTCCATTAAATCTGACTGTTACGAAAGATAAGAAATCTCAGAAAAATAGTAAACATTGCATCTATGTTCTAAGACACAACAAACTTTAAACTATTAATCACAGGCAAGAATCTGTGCCGCTGATCTGTAAAGCATCTGTCTACCTCCTGTCCTTTTAGCAGCAAACTGGAAACAATAAGTGATAGATATATTGTTTGGAGGAGATTTTATCCCATCCGTTCGGATATCCTTTCTTCTGGTCAGCAACTCTATTATTAATCTTCAAGCACTCTTTATTAAGTTGTTCTTTGAGCTATAGATATAATAATTAATTTAACATGATGATGGATGCCCAGCCATTTCACCTCTAGGAAGTCTCATGCAAGAGCTCTCAGATTTTGAATGAATATTAAAGCTCAGGGCACACCTGTGATATATTCATCCTTTTAATTATATGAAGAAAAGAAGGCATAGATTTTGCTCTATCAGCAAATCAGCGGTACAGCTAGGAGAAGAACTTAATCAGAACCACCTAATGTGCAGTCCTAAAATCTAAATATCTAACACACTATCTTTATCGATAGAGGATCCGGAGCCTATAAGCTGTTCTCTATTCCACTGGTTTTCAGTCATTTTAATATCAGGATCTACTTTTTGAAATGCATATAAGTATAGGCCCCATCTGTACAGGTTCTAAAGCCAGTATGCATATATATGAGCTGTTAATATAACAATAGAAAACTATAGTATTCACAGTCAAAAAATTAATCGCCTTCACATCTTTCAGGGAGAAATGTTTGTCTCGATACACACAGGCTATATGGATATGGAATGCGTGCTGAAACTAGAGAGAAATGTATAAATCTTGTAGGCAAAACAATGACAGGTTTTCTTCCCAACCCGTCTGCTATAATTCTATTACTCCTTACATTCTGTATCTCATATCTCTTTGCTATCCTCTTCTCTCTTCCACGCACAGAATCCCCAGCTTGACTGGCCATTGATAGAAAAAAAACACTACACGTAGAAAGGGAAAGACATTTACCTTTTCTTGGTGTAAACTGAGACTGACACAGCTGCTCCTGCTGCCCCATTTTGTAGGTTGAGTCACTGCAGGAACAATTATCTGCTCAGTTCCTTGTAGCTCTGCATCCTTATTGCTTCCTTGAGAGACCTGAAGGTCAATTCAGGAAATTTGGACTATCAGTCATCCTATACAAGCATTTGCATTTACTTATTTTCAAAATTTAAGCTTTCTTAATCAGGAACAGTACAGTGGCAGAAAACCTAATGCAATTCACAAATGACAGATTTCAATCTAAAAAAAATTCTAAATGCAACAGTGCTATGTCCTTTTTTTCATGGGATTATGGAAATTTTCCAGTTTATTGATAACAATTCTGGAAAAAACTGTTTTCTAAACTGAAAAAGACCTCATTAGCACACAGATGATTTTAAAACAAAAAGATGCTCTTAAATATTTGATGCAGAACTGTCATGCTCAGGTAAGTATACAGGTATTATTTATTGTCTAAATAACAGACTGTAATCTTTACAAATATACTGTTGTGCAATTTTACAGACACTCTTGGTTTATATGTGTTGCACGTTATAAGCTAATTAATTGGATAAGAGTGTTATGCTTCTCAAATCAGCTTCTAAAACCACTCCCTGATGCATCCATGAGCCAAATCTCTTATTTTCTGTATTTTGTTCAGCAAAGTTGTAACTGTAAGATTCCTCCCAGGTCTTGCACACTGATAATATAATTACTTCTTCCCATTGTAAATGATTTGAATAAGTATTTTTATTATTTGTAGGCATGAGAGTGTCTCCCAGATACGGTGATCTGGGTTCCCATTTGCATTTATGTGAGTGTGCCCAAAATAACCGGTTATGAGGCTAATGTCAGAACATATGGTCTCTGAGGTGTTAGACTGGTCACAATTCATTTTGTTGCAAATTATTTGGATGTCAAAGGAACTTGAACAGTAAAAATAAAGCCATGAATCTACAAGCTGTAGGCTGTTCTAAAAGTGATAGATAAATTCAGAAAGTGAAGAGCTCTAATTGATAGACAAACACAGTTCTCATAGTTATTCACAGATTCTTCAGAAAATAAGCTGTAAATATTGAAGTCGACTTTTCTATATAAACTATTTTGATATTTTCATGAAATACACGATGCAGAATCATGTTCAGAACTTCAAAATCACATTTAACTTATGAATTACCATTATTGCAAGTAGCTTGAGCAGGTATGCAGTTTTCTCCAGGAGATTCTGTCTTCGGATGCGTATGTTACAAGGCATGTACTAACATCTGCTTGGGAGAAAAGAGAAGTTATTTGCATACCTTTCACCATCTTTTATTGTTTATAGGAAAATATGATTATATGAATATCTGACTCTTCATCTTTTGTGGGTTAGGCACAAATCCAGCTGCATACTCTATGCTCATCTTTATTCTCTATATTCTTACAAATATGAGAACTCATAAGTCAATATTCCCAATCAGTATCTCTTTACAAAGTCAAAGTCACAATTCAGACATAGTATATGGGAGGCAGCATAAATAGCTAAAAGATATAGGTGAAGTTCCTGTTGGGATTATTTTTTGCACCAGATCTGGCCTGAATTCTGATACGAACACAAGGCTGACAATTTTCCCCCATTTCTGTTTTGAATTTGCTGCAGTCATAGGAGTTTAAAATATTTCATACTTGTTATTTCATTATAATCTGAAACATTTAACATAAACAGTTTGCTTGATATAATGATTTTAAAATATCCGTTGCCCATAAACAGAGTATAAAATAAATGTATGTGCACATGTTAACAATTTCACTCATTATGAAATAGGCAAAGACTACAAGATTTGCACCAGCATTAAGAGGACTATGCATTAACGTTTTTTGAGCTATTACAGCAAGATCATCATGCAATTGAAATTCCAGCCTTTAATACTGGCCCACAAGGTTTGTCAGCATGTTTCAGTTAGGAAGACTGTACTTCACTGCATATAAGGGCATCACAATGAGGTACCCTTTCCTAACCAAACTATGTATTTCCTGAAATCAAATTCACATAAATGATTCATGAACAGTCATTTTAAAAAGCATAGCTGGAGCATGACAATTTCTCTAAGGGCCATTTGCAAGTATTCTGCACAATTCTAGTCATATCCCGATTTTACTGACAGGCTGGATCTCCTTCCTCCAGATTCTGAAACTTGGAATGTAGTTTTACAGGGACTAGTACTATTAACTGTAAGTAAATTATGATTAACTCCTATGCATTTATTTCAAAGATCTTTGTTCGCTAAAGTGCAGTAGCGTATAAAAAGCCCAGTCAAGATCTGACACCCATTTTTGCTGGAAACTGCACAAACACAGTAAGAAACCATCCTGTCCAGAAAAATCTACTAATATGAATCAAGTAGGGGAAAGAGGGAATGTGGAAGCAATGAAAGAGAGAGGTCCACTGACTTGTCGGAGACTACACGGCAGGTCAGCAATAACAGAATCCAGTCATGAATATCAGTACAACGCACTGTGCATCAGTTGATAATGCTTGTCCAAACTGTTAACGGAAGTACCACCTCCACAGTACAAATCCGTCTTAATCACAGTCCAGAATTTTGTGTGCAAGACTGTACAAACACAAATCAAAAGACTGAACTTTCATACACAGGCGAAACGGTTCGGAAGACTGAGTGTGTAAGGATTACTTCAAATAAGAAAAACATTAGTAAGCCTAACCTTTAACAGAAAAAAAAAAAAAAAAGGAAAAACTGCCAGCAGGATAAGAAACGTAATAATCTTGTGTTATTGGTTATCCTAAAAATTCAGCTCGCATCAACTGTATGATGTATTGGCAAAAAAAAGCCATATGCCAAAATCTTCACCGGCGCTGGTATATATTACCTGCTAATTAAATGAATGAAGTTGTACCACATTCCGTCTGCACAGGAAGACAGTTTATGAAAATGATGTGGAAGTTCTGGTTTTGTAGTTTACTAGTGTAACTTTTAAGGCTGCTATGCTTTGAAGGCACTTCTGTTTCCCAAATATTGAAGCTATTAGAGTGGATTTCCCAAAGCACTGTAGTATGTAGTTTGTAGTACATCTTTGTTTATATTAACTTCTCATTCTAATTACAATCATAATTTGGCTGTCTTTCATGGACTGTAGAAGATACAGAAACTTCCCTGACTGACCCTCACACAACCATTCAAGAACAGACTACGACCTCAATAACGTGCAGGAGAAAAAAATGACTTTCGTTTGGGCAGAGTCGGAGACTCAGTAGATTTTGTCCCCAGGCTTTTTCAACATGTACATATTGCTTACCACTACACAAAGTATAGAAGGAGTTGGCAACATGCAGACAGGTGGACTTTCCATTTGTGGATGCTTCTTAACTAATCTCCTATATGCATATGATGCTCTTGATTCCAGCTGTCAGTGAAGTGCAATGAGTGGTGGCATCGGTAAAAACAATTAGTAGGGAACATGGTCTGTTCCCTGACTGGGACGAAAACAAAAGGCACATAGAGTGACTCAAGTAACCAAACCGAAATAGAGATCACAACTAACGGACAGGCTGCAGATGCAGTTGCTGGAAGTTACCTGTATCGAAACAAGGATATAATGTTCAAAGAAACAACTGAACTAGAAATAGGCTGTAAGTCACTCCCTTACATAAGTCAGG